GTGAGGACACAGCAAGAAGGTACTATCTATGAACCAGGGAGCTGGTTCTCACCAGACACTGAATCTGCCATGCCTTGATCTTGAACTTCCCAGCCTCCAGAACTGCAAGAAATAGATTTATTTTCTTCCTTTCTTTCTTTCTTTTTTTTAAAGATGACTGGTAAGGGCATCTTAACCCTTGACTTGGTGGTGTCAACAGCACGCTCTCCCAAGTGAGCTAACCGGCCATCCCTGTATAGGGATCCGAACCCTTGGCCTTGGTGTTATCAGCACCACACTCTCCCAAGTGAGCCATGGGCCGGGCCAAGAAATAGATTTCTGCCACACAGTCTATGGTATTCTGTTAAAGTAGCCTGAACAGACTAAGATGTTAAGAAATAATTCACATACCAAATAACTCACTCATTTAAAGCATACAATTCAATGGTTTTTGACATACAGTAGTCCCCCCTTATCAGTGGTTTTACCATCTGTGGTTCTAGTTACCCACTGTCAACCGTGATCCAAAAATATTAAATGGAAGTTTCCAGAAATAAACAAAAAGTTGTAAACTGCATGCCCTTTGAGTAGTGTGAGGAAATTTCACACTGCCTGCTCCATCCTGCCTGGGACATGAACCAACCCTTTGTCCCCAGCATATCCATGCTGTATACCCTACCTGCCCAGTGGTTACTTAGTAGCGGTCTGGGTTATCAGATTGACTGTCATGGTATCACAGTGCTTGTATTCATGTAACCCTTGTTTTACTTAATAATGGCCCCAAAGAGCAAGAGTATTGTGCCTAATTTATGGATTAAACTTTATCATAGGTATGTATGAATAGGAAAAAACATATACAGGACTCAGCACCATAGGTAGTTTCAGACATCTTCTTGGAATGCAGCCCCCGTGGATAAGGTGGGACCACTGTATACAGAGTGGGCCATCCATTACCATTTTGGCACCCCCCAAAGAAACCCTTACCCTCTAGCCATCACCCCCCAGCCCTCCCTCTCCCCCAGCCCCCGGAAACCACTAATCTGCTTTCTGTCCCTATAGCGCTCCCTGTTTTGGACTTCCATATGAATGCTGGCACACAACATGGGAACTTCTGTGTCCAGTGTCTTTCACTGAGCAGAATGTGTTCAAGATTCACCCATGTAGTATGAGTCCTAGATAGCTCTTGAGAACACTGTTCAATAGAGGAAACAGTCACAAAGAAAAATATTCACGCAGTGCATATGAATACATGTGCACCCACACGCACACATACACACAT